CCAGGGAGCTCAGTGGGGAGCCACCAGGATGGTCAGGGCTGGAGCTCCTGCTCTGCTGGGGGAGGCTGAGGGAGCTGGGCTCGTTCAGCTCACAGGAGGCGGCTTTGGGAGGACCTAACAGCAGCCTTCTGGTACCTACGGGAGGTCGTCTAGAAGATAAAGCCATGCTCTTCAGAGAGGACCACGGTGGGAGGACAAGAGGCAACGAGCAAAACTGGAGTGAGGCTGTGACTGGATACACAGGGAACTGTTACCATGAGGACAGTCAAGCAGGGGAACGGGCTACTGGGAAAGGGCGAGCAGTCGCCACCTGTGGGGGCTTTCAAGACCAGGCTGGATAAAGCCCTGAGCGACATGATCTGATGTCGTAACTGACCCTGCTTTGAGAGGGAGCTTGGCCTAGAGACCTCCCCCTTCCGACCCGACCCATCCTTTGACGCTACGACAGAAGAAGAGGGGCGTCATTACAGTTCTGACCGTCTCTACAACCCCGCTCCTTGGAACAGCGGGAATAACACTGATTCCCTGCAAAAAATGGACCGTCTCCTCTTGCTCCTCAGCAGGAAAATCAACACGCAGGAGAGATCATGGACGGGAGAGGTGGGAGGAAGGCAAATTCTTGGCAGGCTCTTTCTTCACTATCTGCAACTCCGCACTGTGACACAGCTCCCCTGCTAACCGCATGAGCAGCCACATCCATCCCCGCGCGGGCGCCGCTCCCCGTGCCCTGCTGAGGGCACCCCCTTGCCCCCTCCCCTCGGGCCCCGCAGACCAGAGGCATGTCCAGGGTGCTCGAACCTGCCGCGGGAGCAGGCAGCGCTGCTGCACCCCCAGCCCGACACTGCCACCTTCCCGCAAGGGCTGGGCAGGACCTGGCTGAGTGAGTGAGACCCCGCCGGGCGTAACCCCTGCAGGAACTTCTCACTGCACTCGGCTCCCTCTGAACTTGGGCGAACCCCTCGCACACCCAGCGTTTGTCCTGACCTGCTGCCCCGCAGCAGCAGGGGCCCCTTCGCCCTGCGCTGCCACCCCAACATCCCCACCTAACCACAAAATTATAAACCAAACAACCCTTAAATTAGAGCCCAAGATGTAAGAGCGAACCACTACAAGGCTCTGAAATTTGAAGCTACAGCTGGAAGCGACCCAAAACTCTCCAGCCCCACACCACCCTGTCAGGACACAGCCACACACCTCCCACGGTCGCGAAGCCACAGGAACCAGGTCCCACCAGTGGGTGGCTGCTGGGGGTCAGCGAGGTGCCCGTTCAGCAGGGAGCTCTGAGCCAAGGGGAACCCTTCTTTTGGAAAGATTTTCCTAAGCAGGTCATCACGGTGACAGGTTACAGATACACGTGGTGCTGGCACAGCTGGAGACATTTCAAGCTGTAGCACAGGGGACAAAGTGTCCTCCCTGACGTCCCCCCCGGGTCACGTCGCTCCATCCTCCAGCTGGCTCACGTCTCCCTGGCCGCTCTGGTCGTCCACCTCTCAGTAGGTGCCAAACTTGTAGTTAATGACGTCGGTATGGAATCAGATCTCTGGATCTTGCCCTGCTACACTCTCAGCTCTCGGAGTTCAGCCCCAAAGGCACGATGGCCATTCCCTGGAGAGCGGCGTCTCACATGGTCCCTTCCCCTGCTCCGCTCGGTCGGGAGCTGCAGGGCCCTGCGCTGAGCGCACTTGGTTTAATCACATTTGGGAACCCTTCTGAAATCGGGCTCTGCCCCGTGTTCCGAAAAAGCGCTGCCTGTGCACGTCCCTGTGGGACGTTACCAGCCTTTCAGGGCAGGCGGGCACGGCTCCTCCTGCCGCCCGCCCGTGCCAAGCGCTGGCCCTCCGCCAGGGCCTGCTCTGGGGCCCCGCTGGCCCCCCTCACCCCGGGGTGGCAGAGGGGCTCTGCCCCTGCTGCCCTCAGCCCGCTTCGGGCTCCCAGACCAGCAGCGAAGAGCAAAAAGCACCCGTGCCTGCCCGTGGGGTGGGAGCGCAGCCCCCGGCCTGTCCTCGGCCCTTCTCTGGCCCCCCATGTCTGTCCAGATCCTCCCTCGGCCAGAGGCGTGCGAGTACCCCCCACTTCTGGGGGACACCCCTCGCCCATCCTCTGCCTCCGCTCAACCCTTCCCATCCTTCACGCCTCCAGTTTTTCCCTCTGACTCCTGCGCTTCCCTCCCCCCCGTCTCCCGGGAGCAGCAGACGCTGCCAAAGCCCCCCCTGTCCCCGTGCCACCACACTGCACGTCACCTCTGTAGAGACCCTGGCCCCCTGCCCCGGGAAGCGCAGCCCTGCCTCCTCTCCTTACCCACCCTGCTGCCAAGTGCTCGGCCCTCCCAGCTGTCCTGCAGAGTTAAGTGTTCCCATTCCTTTTTCTGAAAGCCATGGCCTTTCAGCTCTGAAATTTTTATGCTCCCAGTTGATGTCAAAGACTTGAAATATTTCCCAGGAAGTCAGCTGTAAATAGAATATTTAATGATGTCAGCCACCCTCCTTCACTGTGAAAAATTCCTCTCTTTAATGAAATTGCTGTAAATTCAGAAAATAAAGAGCGGTTAGATAAGCTTAGACGACCCATTCCAACGCACATTTTCCAGTCTGGGAAATGGGCCTGTCCATTTTTCCTGGGCCTGGCCTGAGAATGACAGGATTCCCTAAAGCTGCCCTGGTGGTGCTGAGCAGGAGCGGGGTGGGACGGTACTGGCGGGGTGGCCCTGGAGCATCCCGCGGGGGCTGAAGGCCGCTGCACCCCTGTGGCCAGGCTGCGTGAAGCCTGGGGGATGCTGCAGCCAGAGCCTGTCTGAGCCCCTCCAGGGGCGTTGGGAGCACTAAAGGGCAATGACCTGACTTGTGCTGCAGCTTTTTCTGTCATTCTTACCTTTAGCTTGCTCCAGGCGGGGTCAGGAGCCAAGCCGAAGCTCTTACCCAGACCCAGAGGTGTCCTCGAGTTCCGCAGGACTCGGGGACGACGAGGTGCCCTTGCAGGAGCTGCTGCGGCAGGCGGAGCTGCCTGCCTGTGGCGCCACGTTTCATTGCTGGAGTTCCCTCCTAAGCCCATTAAGTTCTGAATTTACAGTGGTTCCATCTAAGAGCAGGTGCTGTGGTGCCGGCCCTGGTGCAGGCCCTGGTGCGTTTCTCTTGCAGAGGTCTGTGAGGGTCCTGGCTGGGGACCCCCGGGAGCAGAAGACAAACCACTTCCTCCGTAACTCTAACTCTGGCCGTATCTCCTTCCAAGACTGTCTTCCGCAGGAGGACATTTGACAAGAGGGACTGAAAAAGAGGCCAAGAAATACTGAGAATGAGAACATAAGGTCAGAGTTAAGGCGATCGATAGAGACGATCCTTACTGCATCCTCCCCACTCCCCGGGCCCGGGCTGAGCGTGCGAGGGAAGCTCTGCCCTGCCTCTGCCGGAGGGGGGCTCCGCTCCCCGGGCAGCAGCGTGCCCGCTTGCCGAGATGCCACCCTCGCCGAGACGCCGTGGCCGGGCGGTGGCAGTGACAGCAGAGTGGCATCGCTCTGTCCCCTGGGAACAAGCGATGAGCCCTGAGCGGGGGACACACGGGCTCTGCTCTGCCGGGAGCCGCCTGCCCCGGCCCGTGCCGTAGCGTGTCTCCAAAGGCTGACATGAGGCCGGCAGCAGCCACCCCCGTGTTTCACGGGAGTGGGATCCTTGAAGATCCAGTGTCCCAACACGCTGTAGCCGGTGCTGGGCCGAGCTGCAGGAGAGCCACCAGACGTCTCGGCGTCTCTGAGCCG